GTTTGACCGATTGCGACCACTTCGAACCTGGCTTTTTTGGCTACCAGTGCAATGCCTCAAAGAGAATGGCACTTCACCAAGCGCTCTGCTCGTCATATCGCATTACTACACAGCCGCTATGATGATGGAACGACTCTTCCCAGAGATTGGTGCAGCCTACTTCGGCAGCCTGGCCATCGGCCCCGTCGAGGAGATTGCGCGACGCCTCTTCTCCATCAACGTTTCGGGGAGTATCGATGGAGATGTGCAGACGCCCATGTCGCTGATGGAATTTCCTATTGACACGATTGCCGAGTTTCGCTCGAGGTTGGGTTGGATTCAACCGACGCGCACACAGTCTTTCCCACAATTTGATCCCCCCAACTTTTACATGAGTGAGCATGGGACGCCGCCTACCACGAGTTCTTACATGCCTTACGGGGATAGCCCAGCCTTCAGCTGGAGTACCGAGGACCTTTCGATGCTCGCACCGGAGCCCGAATGTGGCAGTGCAGTGAGTCCCGTAACGCTCTCGTCGCCATTCCACGGCGGACAGTACCTCAGTATTCCATCACCTTATGGTGGCTACAGTCCAGCATCATCCACATTTGGCGAGGGGTCCATCGTGTACAGCGACCACGAGGAATTTGGCTCTTTTGACGCGGGTATGACAGACTGTCATCATCTAGGCGCGGGACATAATAATTTTGGTGTCGGGTTCGTCTCTCCAATCCAGCCCGTGTGGATATGAAGAGCGAACAAAATGATTGACCATTGGAACTCAGGACCGCTAGCGCTCAACATACTCCTTCAGCAGGCTATCCTCCGCTTGAGATTCCCTTTCAGCAGGATACCCTTCAGTCCCCTGCCACCTGGGGCCCTGCTGCCTATGAGACTAAACCGTCACCGTTTCTCGAGCCCCATCCGTGGTCAGCTAGTGGTGGTTACAGCGAATCTACCACGCCACTCTCCGTCTCGGCACCATCACCAGTGTTCATGCCTTCACCCCAATTCGCGCATCATCGACACAATTCCTCTGTCTCTTCCGCGCCCATCCATTTTAAGAGAGAAGACGAATGAGGTTGTGGATTCGAACCGTTTGCATTGCTTGATCAGGACCATTTTCAGCCTTTTTTTACCTACAACTTTTTAATAATCTTTCAACACCAGACGCCATTGTACACCACGTTCCTTTGACAGGACTCGCTATACCGACATGTCTGTATCGACACAATGACCACGACATTCCCTATTTACAACAGATAAACTACTATCCTTAATCTCTAGTATATAATGATCAAACTTACGACACTCCTTACGACGATACCCGATAGACACTCCTTACGCAAGTATTGCACTACTAGAAACCGACCTTTCACGCTCCTTACGATTTACGACGATTTCTATAGTATATACATAGAATCTCATCCGCTCCTTTAAGACGGCATTATCTGGCATTATCAGGATACCCAAATCACATCTTGTTTCCAAACTGCATAGCGACTGTTTACACCTTTTCAACTGGCGGAGGGTCAAAAAATTGACGACAAGCTGAGGCTGTCTGTCTTTGCATGGATTGGCGTTTTTGGTTTTTGATTTTAGTATACGTGTTTTTATTGGTTGCACACCGGGTTGTTACAGCCAACCCCTTTTGCGTTCAACATTTGTTGGAAAAACCAGTGCTGGGCGCCTGAAGTTGAATCGGGCAAAAATACTAGGAGTTCTCGGCGCCTTTACCGTAATTTGTTGGGAGGTTAATAGCGCTCTTGGAGGTACATATGTGCTGGCCATGGAAGGGACAGTCTATCGCGAATGCGAATTCAGCTATTGCTGCTCCAATGTTAGAGGACATGAGAGCTGATACACGTCAGCTCGCGGTACCTAATATTAATAATAAACCTGCTGGATTTTCTCACATCAGTATTCACGTTCTCCCTAGTGTATGGATCATGAGTTTGATTGAGTAAGCTTGCTTCCCAACGTACTGATATCCTGAAACACTTATTTGATATCTTTTCACAATAATATCGATCTACAGCTTAAACAGAGGATATGGAACCGGAAATCGTTGATACAGTCTATCATAGATTTGCCAAGCCAAATCTCTATCGAAAGTATTCGCCCCGCACAGAATATCTGGCCACCACAACCAGAAGGGGTTCTGGGCATAGCGGCGTAAAGATTCCAGAAGTCCAATATCACGCGCGGACCTGGACATGCGCGCTAAACTACGATGTCGCATTTTCTACGCCTGGATTTAGCGGGGAGTCGACAGGTGACAAACAGGTAATGTAGGCCGACAGGACGATTTTGCTAGCGAATACGAGGTTCTCTCTTTGATTCGAAGGCCGCTAAGCTAAGCCCGACCGTTTGTCTCGCCGGACTTTCTATATTTTTGGCTTCGGCTGAGGTACCTCAAAGCTGGACTCTTGGTCTAGAAACTTGATGGTTGGGAGGCGAGAGCTACAGAGTGCTATTCTGGAATGCGACATGGGTCTGTTCGTTGCACAATTCTTATTATGCGATGGCGCTATCATTGTCACGTCACTAAACACCCGGTCGGTCGTCACCAGGTCTACGGCAAAGCGAGCTGGCCCGAAGCAGAGCACGTGAAAGGGCCGTCCACGAGCTAATCTCGCGATGGTCGTGCAGAATAAGCGGTGAGAAACGGATATTCTAGACTTACTTCGTCCTGCCACACCGGTGTGTCCCTTGTTCCTGCTGCATCGGAAGATGTAGGCTCTATTCGCGCGACCCGAATGAACCCTTCCCCTGAAGAAGCAACATGACTCCCAGCCGACTTCCAATCGATGGCATTTCTATCCTCTTGGTGTTTCGACGTATCACAAAGTCTACAACAAGCCTGGGTAAATGTTTTGCCCATAAGGAGATGCATACATATGCGAGACGCTATAGCTGGAAGCACAACATATGTACGCCACGCCACGCCACTCCCTGCCAATAGTTATAGTAGTCACGCGTACCTGTCGTGCCTCATGCTGCCATCTACCCACAAGGAGTATACTCGATTGTCTCGCGTCCTTGCAGATCCCGGGAGTAAGCATGCACCGGTTCGCTCCCGGAGCACAATCGCGCATTGTCGCGAACTTACAGCGGCGCGAACGGCAATGAAATGTGGTGCTCGACCTATGCGAGACGGTATAATCCGCCGCCTTGAACGTCGTTTAGGATCAGGTATAGCAGAGCTCAAGACTAATCCACCATTAACGGCGCTTAGTATACGGAGACTTTCTGTTATTTTTATCCTTCATTCTTCGATTCTATAATACGCCGAATTACTGGTCCGTCACTCACATTCAAGTCAACATGAGTCATTTCGTGACTGTCACGACCTTTCGCCAAAAGTAAGTTCGCCCTGCAGTGTTTTACGCCGTATTTCCTACGGCTCGATGCTTCACCGCCGATTCGTCCCGGATTACTTAAGTGTAATACATGGATTCACTAAACATTCATGTCCGCAACGACACGGAGTTATATGGTCTTTAGCCCCGTTTTTCTAGCAAATGAAACCGTTGCGAATTGCAAAGGGCCAGGCCAGAACTGTATTGTCCGTAGAAGACCAGTAACTTTCATAAATGAGCTATAATATGTGGCGTCATCTCAGCTTTAGCGGAGGACTAGGAGGACTCAATTCCTGTTCACTATGAAGCTATAAAACGGGTGCATGAATACTTGCCTAATCGAGCTAAGCACAACAAATGGGTATAGACCGGATCAGGCAACAGGAATCCAATTGCTATAGATCAGAGCACTATTTCTATTATTGGACACCGGGCTACTATCTCCGAAATGCTTACAATTCTTCATGCGAAGGTATTCTATATGTTACTATAATCACGTCTTACTGACCTTTCGTCAGCGTCAATGCTAGCATGATTTCTTACTCACTATATGCTAATCTATCAGGTCTGAGGAATACTGAGTATTAGGTACTTCAATACGTTACAAATGCTTCACCTCAGACCAATTGGTAAATTTCCCCGGTCGGAATAATAAACACATGGTCTTCAGTTCTGTTGCGGACGTGACTATATATATACCGTTAGTTTCGGATGGAACTAACGGCGTCGTTTTTTCCGTCACAAGTTTCTAAACTTAGAACGTTTTGTTGATTGTATACTATGAGTCATGATCGTAATATATCTAGAAATGCGCATAATGATCCCCCACCCTTTTAGCTCTTTAATAGTAAAAATGGATAGTAGCCGGATAAGAGTGTCACAGCTTTCTACTAAGTAGCATAACACGTATGTGTGTGAAGCTAGGAAGTCCCATCCATATAGCTGTAAGTTGACCGCTGAGATGAGTCATTGTATGGGAAGCCTCGTGTGTTCTTGAATTATACTAATCTAAGTTGTCTGAATTAATGCTTGTGTGTACAAAGCTACACACTTATTCACAGTTTGGTAACAAGTGAGCTCATTTGATAGGTACCTATTGGTTATATGGCTCTTATACTATCACACCAAGTTACTGTATGGTATTCTCTTAATTGGAACGTAGTTAATGCACCAACAATATCATTTAAGATCCTCTCACAACAACAATCTTCACTTAGAGCTCTGCTTGCCGCTCAAACAAGGTAGAAGAAACCCAGATCTTGATCCGCTATAGCTTAATACCAAATTAATACCATTCAGTCAGTTCTTTCTCTTTTGGGCACTAAAACAAAATTATTTGATCAAAGTACAACCTAAGATAGGCTACATTTTACTGTTCATAACTTATTTCCTATAATATCCAGTGGAATAACGCTACGTGAGCATCTTGGGGGCTTATCTACAACAAAATTCACGTCGTAGGGACATGTAGAGGCAAAGTTTATGAAGAGTATCAGACGCAACTGCTTTGACAACCAAAGAATCGCCTAGAATCCAATGATAACCGGCCTTATATTCGGGGCCACGTGTCCCAAAGCCGGCCCAAACTTAGAATGAGCCAACACCAGCCTCAGAGTAGACCTGACCCGACGAGTACTGTATAGAATGTTTCAACATTAAGGTCTTCTGGCCAAGTTGGTACGGCCTAGCGGTTGCAATTCTAGCGTTCTCAGCGTTTATATACTTACTCAACATCTTTACTCCGCATCGTTAGGCACCGAGGGTTCGATTCCCTCGATGGCCAATTCTAATTCCATTTAGATAGTTGTTACTCAACTGGCGGGTATACAGGTTAAAGCACTAGCATGTTTATAGAAATTTTATTTGCAATGACCTTCTACTTGATATATTGTGTGGCAGCTGTTACATGCGTGGGAAATCGACATAAAAGGCTGGCGACTACGAGTTTTTAGCCATTCTACTGCATATTCATCTTAGGTTCTGTGGCTAACTTTATGAAACTGTAGATATCGTGAGCTATTATTAGTGCTCTTCCAGGTCTTGTCCATATTAGTTCACACTACGTTGATACTGTACCACTATCATTCTTTAAAAGGCGACAAGAATCCTATGACAGCTTATTAAGAGAAAGACTTGAGTCTTCTCGATGATAATGAGGACTTTACCGTTCATTATTCATTGATATCAGCAGCAGACAACAAGCAACTCTTCCATACACTCGCAATATCATACATTCAGAATTCGAGGATGGAAACTGCCAATCTATGGCAGACAAATATGCGTACTCATGTCTAGCTAGCTCAACTGTGAAGCTTTTCTGGGCCTCTGAACTAGCTAGGAGAGAATCATAAGTAGAGCTTGATTTCAGTCATATAATCGTGAGCGATTGAGTAACTCGATTCACTACTCACGAACCAGCGTTTTCAATAAGATTGGGGATATTAGAGTGAACGGGAATAATTATTGCACTCTAACTAACTAGTACATGCATGTAGCTGACGCTTTTATCATGACTCCAACATTGTGTCAGCTCTAGTTCATGTAGATGCAAATCAGGCAATGATTTCCATAGACCGATTATTATCAAAATAACAATCAGTGAGTAGATTTCATATTTCCAAGCCGATGATTGTATCGAAATAGCTCTGCTAGCTCTTTGATAAGCTGCGTAGATTCTTAGTATGAGAAGGTTAGCTGAGATATATATGTGCTGCTGTCATCACATTCACACATTGGCATGGAGGGGGTTACGCAAGGGTAGCATTCACGGACCCCTCGGTGCTGGCTTATCCTGCAGATTCATGATCCAATCGAATACTTCAATGGAGATATCGAGTTCTCCGATCCGGGAACTTGTGCTGATGCTGATAAGAGTGTTTCATATTGCTTGACTCCGCTTCCGATCACTCCGTCTCTTCTGCTTCTTCTCAAACACTCTGGATCACCCCTTGCGGACGAGAAACTGAGCAATTTGATTATCTTACAAATAATGTTGAGAGGTCTATTTCTCACAGGAGCCGCAATAGTCGCGGTGTTGGCGTTGATTGCCAGTCAGTGGACACCACCGACGGCTCCGCGCATCACGGCGATCCGCCAAGGCCGCAACAACACCGTCCTGTTCCTGACAAATAGCGAACATGGGATAGCTAATGTCTTAGTGGCAACGGCATACACCTTGCTGGAGCGTCACCCCGAAGTCGAGGTGCATTACGCGTCCTTCCCGTCGATGGCTCGCAAATTGGAGCGGATTTCGGAGCGAGCCCGCGAGAAGCGGCCGTCCGCACGCCGCATCGTCTACCATGAACTTCCCGACCTTTCTCTCATGGCCATTGCCATGAGGCATGGGGGAGAGGCGACCAGCGCTCTCCCCCTCCATCCGCCCGGCCACGCCGGAGTTAAGACAATAATTCGAAACATGCCTTCTTATATCTCACCGTGGTCGGGTGAAGAGCACATGAGACTCTTCCATAAGTTCTTAGGTATTTGGATAAATCTTCTTAGGTGAGACCAAGATGTAGATGGAATAACACATCTAAATATATCATAGACATAATCGACGAGGTGGATCCCTCGATTGTTGTATTGGATACTTCACTGCGGCCCGCTATTCACGCAGCGCGGAACAGCAGCCGACTTCATGCCTTTATTTCGCCTCTCACGCCCATTGAGAATTTCCCTCTAGAACAGCCTTATCTTGGCTGGCTATGGAAGTACCCAGTGTATGTAACGCCCCCCTTAGGTAGACGAAGCGAGCAGCTGGGTAACCGCCGCCTCTTTATACCCCCGTGACATATCATGGATGTTAAACTTATTGTCATAGTATGGGCTCCGGCATAGCATTCCCGATCCCGTGGGCAAAATTTCTAGAGAATTTATACATCAATATACAATACTATTATGCTATGCTTCACGTTTCCCGTTTCACGGAAACGAGGAAGTATATAGCGTCAAAGGGGCTTGCTGACTCGGTCAACTGGTACAATATCCGCAACGATGACACGCCGTACTTCACACAGGCCCTCCCTGGGGCGTCGATACCGGTCGATGTACTTCCACAAAATGTGACTCTCACGGGACCAATCCTGCTCTCTATTTCACCGGCCGAAGAGCAGGCCACTGCCCTGACCGAGTGGCTTGCTCGCGCTCCGACCGTGCTCGTTAGCCTTGGTAGCATGTTTGTGTGGACGGAAAGCCACGCGACGATCAGTGAGTATTACAGTATACTCCGAACTTCCCACCATGCAGTTTCTTACACTTAATTCCTTATAGTGGCGCAAGCGATTGCGGATACTCTAGCCTGGAGGTCAGATTTGCAAGTCCTGTGGAAGTTCATGAAGCTCCCATACGACGCCGAGGGGACGACGTACGGCGATGAGTTCATGACTCCATTACGTCCTTACCTCGAGAACGGACGGCTTAAAATAGAGTCGTGGCTAGAGGTTCAACCAGTCTCCCTCTTGGAGACTGGGCACATCGTCGCTTCGGTCCACCATGGCGGTGCCGGATGCTATTCCGAAGCCCTCGCGTAAATATGACCACAACATCCTTTGTGTGAGCTCGGACGAGACTAATATCCACATGTTTGTACTCAGAACCGGTGTACCACAGCTCGTATTACCGCAGTGGCTAGATCATTACAGCTTTGCACAGCTAGCCCAGAATGTTGGTGTTGGTATCTGGGGCTGCCCAGACGCGAGTCCCTGGGTAAGTGATTGTCTCAGTGATATCCCCTAATCCCTTCTATTTTGCCATAAATTGCCACTTTCAAGCCCGAATAGTATCCCTAGGAACTTTAAATAGCCCCAAAGCACTTATATACTACGCCCGAATGGTTAGTATTGACCGTGAGCGCTGCAGTGGACAACCGCCTGCCTCAGTGACGCATTCGCTACAGTTTTAGGCAACGCATCTGGCGATGCTATCCGAAATAAGGCAAAATACTTTAGTGAAATTGCGCTGAGAGACCCTGGCCAACATATTGCGGCGCGCGAGATCGCCAAATTAGCTGCCTCTGGCTATGGTTCTTGAAGATCTATTGTCTCTTCGAGACTTCTAATTTAGAGCTCGATCCAAGTTTCAACAGGATCGATGCGTTTGGGTTATTAACAACCCATGACCGAAAGATATATCTTATTACGCTAATCTTCAACTTTTCTTGTACTATAAGAAAAGAATAAAGGGAAATAGGTTGGTGTGGGGTGAAAATGGATGGTTCAGGCTAGGAAATCATGGGCAGGTATACTTGGGAATGAGGCATGGTATTAAACTTAATTATTCGATTATCTACGGACTTCAAAGACAGTCCTAACGAAATTACCTATTCTTGAAGCTTGGAATTATATAGAATTGGTAGCTTATAGCTGATATCAAATTTATCTAAGCTAGATCGAATCCCATAAGTCCTAAATCGTGAAAGTAGAAGGACTATTACTAAATGTAAGTAAATCTTTCCAATTGACCTGTCTCACCAGCTGCGTCGATATATTCTTAACCCCATATTGTTGACTGAAAATTACCACCTAAACTCAACTAAAATCGCATAGGCCGACCTCCTAGGTTAATTGCTTGATGTTAACTGCAATAAAAGACATGGTACATCCTACATTACGTATAATAGAACTTTAAAGAGCATCATTCCTCAACCAGCTCCACGACGTATAGACCTCTACTTCGGCCTATCTAGTCTATACGAGCCGGTACATGTTTTACCACATATCTAGGATGTGACACCATATAACTATCGCTATCCTAGTACCAGCACTTTGATTTATATCGTATCTTCGAATCCCATGGAAGGAGAGTGTGCTGCAGCAGTACAGTGTTCATACAGATTGCACAGATTTTCCCCTCACAGACGGTATGGTTAAGGAACACGAGGGCGTTCAGTGCAGACAGACGGTAGCGGACCGCTGACTACCTACCTAACCTACCTACATCTATCTTTATTCATGTACATGCATGTCGGCGAACTCTAAAGTCGCGTGCCAAGAGGCTTCGTCCTTACTTTTAGGCTTAAGCTCACATACATACAAAACACGAGGTGTTTCGTCACTCAAACTTTGGTCCGAGGAGATGTATAGGCGAACGGGAGCCTACATGTACCTAAGGAGCTATTCAAATTCTCCAATCCTGGGGTTTGGCGTTCTAGGTAACTTTGAAGCTTCGTATAACAGATACATACACAGGATAGCATCATAGCGACTTCATACCTAACCAGCAATGAATGCACATCGTATGCGAATAAATCGATCCATGCTAGTGACTGGGTTGTTTGCATAGTATCTTATCCCTCCCTCTAGGCATAGTCCAGGAACAAGGAGTTTGTTCCCAACATTTGAGTACAATAGGGTAATATCCGTGTTTTTCCAAAAGTACTGAGATTGGAATGGCTTGCCGGCTCGGCCTCCTAAGCTAGTTCTAACAACTATACTAGCCTTGGGAACGACGCCTAGCTAAGTAGATACCACGAGTAGAAATTTCGCTCGCACCAGCCTCGTATTCTACAATTCAGAAAACATCTACTCAATAAGCGTTCATATTGTAAGTTCCATGAAAAGTCGAAGTCTGACTCCTGAGTGGTCCATAGGCATATTTGACATTAGACTTATCAGATCGTAAAAGGGGTATCTGTAATTGACCGTAGACTTCTGGCACGCTGCTTAGCTACTACATCATCACTGCTGGTACGCTAGCCTCTGTAACCAAGCACACTTTCTGTCCTCGGCAAATCTAGGACCCAACACTCGAGAATAAGTTGAGACTTGGTTGGATTCATGTAATGGG